CGACATTCTGGGTAATTTTAACTATTTGTAATTATTTTAATTAACTGGAAAGTGGCTATCTTGGACAAAGTGAAGTTTTGTGTGTTGGTGATTTCTTTTTCTACTATAAATGCCTCTGATGATGGCTCCGTGGTGAGCCGAAACATGTAAGGCAGGTGTTGACGAGGTGGAAAACTTAAAAAAGTGTCACATTTGACGGAAGGAACTTGATTGTTAATTGGTTAATGTGACGGACCAGAATGAAAGACCTGAAACTGAATTAACTGTTAACTCAGAGACAAAAATATAACTGAATACTGAGCAGTGGCATACAGCTTGGAAGGCAAAATGATATACTGGACATCAGTTACTAACATTCCAATCTGTTACTTGGCTATGGCTTTGACTGTTGAGATTAGAAACTAATGAAATGTGCACAAATTTATGGAGGGAGGAGTTGCATGTTACTTGTGGTTCTGAAAGCACTGAGATTTGCCCTCTGTGGTAAACTTTCATTTTGTATAGTAGTTACTTGAGTTCATGAAATTACTTCTCAGATGACAAAATCTGAGAAGTAAAACAAAACAAATCAAATTTGATTTTGTGTGATTAGGAAATTTAGTCACAGTGAGACTGTTTTAATTCCATTACCAGGAGATGACTAGTGAAGGCTGAGGATCCTAGGGCATGTAACGGTGAACTGTAAATTGTGGAAATCAACAATAGTGCTGTATTTACATATGATTAAGAGAACTTGTAACCAAAGTGCTAATAAATCCAATCATCCAAACTAAAACCCATAATTTCATCATGCATACCACCTTACACATGACAACATCTCACTGTACTCCCATTTTTTATCTAATATCTAACAAATGCAAAAAAATAATTTCACATGTAAGGTGGTACATATGACGAGAATGATGGGTTCTAGTTCAGATGATTGGATTTATTGATACCGTGGTTACAACATCTCTTAATCACATTTAAATACAGCGCTATCGCTGTTACCACACTTTATAATTCACTGTTACACACACACTACTCCTCTCCTGGTAATGCAGTTAAAACACATGAACAAGCACTTTAAATCACTCCAAATATTACACATGAACAAAGTCTTTTAATCACACACCAAGTCTTCACACGATGAAATTTCTATGGCTATCTCTCACTGAGAACTCAGAACTCAGAACTCTCTCACTGTCACTTAAAACTGAAACTTATCAGTCTGTAACTGTGCTTATATAGCCTCCACACTGAGCACATGGAAAACACAATGTCTGTTGTTGAAACATGTTTACCAAACCATTGCATAGCTATACATGTTACAATATTATCACTAATTGATCTATTATGCAAAACCCACTTTGATTTTCTTCAGTAATTTTTTGTACATCTGGAGTTAATCCTGAGAAGAGAGTGCTGTATAAACATTATATGAAGATGATGACAGTGATATGCCTTGACAATTATTACAGTCATCTTTGTCATCATTTTTGTAAATAAGCTTCCACCATTGCGGCTATTCTTCATTATGCCAAATGAAATTTGTGAGTTTATGGATCTTAGAATATAATATTTTGCTTCCTGCTTCAGTCAGTTGCCAGAATTTGGTCAGTATCTGATAATTCATATCTTTTCAGGTCTTCAGTAGCAATTTCAGTCTTAGAAGGACAAGACTCATGTCCTAATTACTCAGCTGGTTTTATTTTAGTTTGCCTATTTTCACTAAGCCGATCTACATTCAACAGCTGAGAGAAAGAATTCTTTCATCTCTTCCAAATGGTGTGAAAATCGCAAACAGATCACTGTTCCATTCTTCATCAAGTTTGTTCTAGGCTGGTAACCCTTCTGAAATTCATTTATGCCTGTATTTGTCACATGTGACTTATAGATGGGTTTTGGATTGGATGATTGAATTTATTGACATCTTATCCACTCCACTCAGAACTACGAGCAATTACCACGCTATCATTATTTTCTGCACTTTAAAGTTTGCTGCTGCAAACACACTAGGGTTTTCAGTCTTCACTGTCCACTAGCTGTTTCCTGGCAACAGATTTATAACAGTCTCACTGTCACTGTAGCCCACATGAAGTCTTCTTTGCACCACCTAATTCCTTTCTTGGCCATTACTCTGCTAACTTGCCACTTCCAGAGACTCCCAATTCAATTCATCTGCTCTCAAGCTCATATCCTGGCAGGCTGGCATCTCACAACTCAATTGACTCTAACTCTAGCTGTGCGAGATCCTCGTTATATAGCCTTGGGGCAGACCCACAGAAAACACCGCTCCTCTGTTGTTGCATGTTGATTCACTGCTGCAGAGATGTGTACACCACACAGCTGCATAGCAATGAGTGCGGTTTGGGCCCACAGAGAACACCACTTGCAACACCTCTTCTATTGTTGCATTACGTTACAACGTATGTGATACGTTCCTCTGATGCATGTTTGCAGGTCGTTATTTAATAACAGCTGTTTCTCTGCCACCACCATTCCTGCTTCTAGCAAATACGCCACAATATAAATTTTCAAAGCTGTTAACCTTCTTGAGATTTTTACTTAATAGTGTTTTTAACCTTCCATTTCATTTAGCTCCTTGAGATTGAATCTCTCCATATCAAAATTTTGGTTGTTTGTTTACTTACTGATAATCTCTCCCTAACTTCTGTCATCACCAATTAGTGACTGTTATCACTCCTCTGAAAGGGACATCAAGTGTACTTGTTGACAACTGTGCAGCTGTCAAAATATGATCAGTCTGACTGCATGTCTTTCCATTAGGAGATGCTCTGGTGAATCTATGAATGTTTCAATTTGAGAACATTGTATGCGTGGCACTCTTTTTATGTGCACAGTTTACTGTTCTAACTCCATTATCATTACTAATTTCATGTAAACTCCTATTCCAAATTGTCAGTTTTAATATATTTTTTCTACATTTTTTGGCACTGAAATCTTGTTAAAAAATTTTCAAATGGTACTTAAGGAATTACTCAAATACATATGATACTTTGGTAATTATCCTACACACTGTATTTCTTCATAGAAGTTAATCCTTTGTATCATAAGTTTTATCCTCTGTTGGGCCTTGCACATGCCAGTGACACCTTAGTATTATATGCAATATCCTATCACCAACAAACTCTACCCTTTTAACTGCTTAATGTATGAAAATCCGGTCCATAATTCATGACTTCATTCCTATTTCCATACAGAAAATTATAATCGTGCAGTGGTTCAGTGCCACCTTTCTCCACCTGACCTTCTGTACTTCAACTTAATCTGACTTACAATTTACAAATTTTTGCAATTGTTGTGAATGGGCCTGTCCTGTAGAGACTTCTTACATTCTGCGTGCCTTATCTCATGTCAATTTTCCATGTCTGAGGCCATTCTAAAGAATCTCTCCAAGTTTGATGTCTTGTGCAACATTTCATAACAACTGTTTCTTTACAGTGAGAAGTTGTTTGCCCCACGTCCAATCCCTAAGATGGAGGACCACCCCTTGTAGACTGCCTGAGGCTGTTTGTTCAACATATTCGCAGTTTCCACCCCCTTATGACCTACATAGAAGCCCATTCCAACATGTTACATGCTAGTTCAGGACCTTTAAATGGATTTCAGAACCAATTTTACCAATTTATCAGTGATCTCATTTCCATAGAGTCCCTGTTTCTTGACACACATACCACTTTTTCTCTTTATGCTCAACCACTATCATTAGGGATTGATGGAAGTCACAGACAGTACATATTGTCACATGATGAAGTGACTGTAGATGGGATTTGGGTTGGTAATCCGATTTATTGGCCACTTTAACACAGCTCATGACTACACTTTATGAGTCACTTTTACACACAGACTAATGTTCTCAGTTGTGGTCTCCACTACACTACTTGGTAGCGGCTTCCAATGGGGGAAGTTCCCCTTCCTCTACGTTCCTGAACTGTCCCCAGTCTCAGCCACTGCAACTGTCAACTGACTGACAGCCATCGGACTCTCAGCTCAGAATCTACTCAGACTGACTGGTAACCACAGCTGATCCTTATTATATAGCCTCAGCACAGACTGCATAGAAAACACTGCTTCCAACAGCTCTTCTATTGTTCTGTGCATGTTCATTGTGGCCATCACATGACAGCTACTGAGCCATTGCCTATCAACGGGCATGTTTACAGAGCTGTTCCGTAGTGATGGCTGTCTCTTTTGGCTTCACAATTCTGGCTTTCAGCAAACATGGCACAATTTTATTGTGAATGTAGTAAATCATATTCTTATCTTTCAGGGGCAAAATAAAGTAATTATACTGCTAAATGAACCAGCAGGAAAAGAAGATAAACTTAAAATCACAATAGACAAGAATGGGGAATGTTTGGAAGTGACATCTATGAAAAGGAGGAATCCTTATACATTACATTTCCAAATGCCAGGTGAGCAACGTTTCTTTTTCTTGATTTTGTAGTGTAGATTGTTTCTTGGCCCCTTCTATCAATGTTTTCCAGAACTCCATCTCCAGTGCCTTCTTCATCTCTATTATATATTTATTTATTTATTTATTTATTTACTTCGTATTCATGGATCATTATACATGATATAGGACGAGTCAAATACTTTACAATAATAAATAAGAATAATAATTATAATATAATATATTATATTATATATGATATAATTAATATGATTAATATAATTAAATTAATATATATGATATAATTAAACGATTATAATCGTTTAACACACGACACCGCTGTATGCCTCAAGACCTGATCCTTCTATCCCGGCACAAAATACCCTGGTATCCTCCATCTCGTTCCTGTAAGAAAAAAATACAAAATAGGGCAGTGGGCATTCCTATAACATGTACTAATATTAAAATCTACAAGTTAATTATTCTTGAAATTTATGTTTACAAGTGAATAGAACTAGGATTTGTCCCCACACAAGAGAAACTCGTCTGTACTATAGAAACAATGATCAAGTAGGAATGTTTTCAAAGTCTTTTTAAACTTGTACAGTACTGGTATCTCTTTAATATACTGTGGCAATTACTTTAACATATGAAGTCCAGTATTATTGAAATTGTTTTTGTATAGACTCGTATTACATGACACTATGAACAAGTCCCCTTTTCTCCTTGTATTGACCTTTGGGGCTTCTAGATTTCTTCTGTTCTAACCAGCCAGGTGAGTTTAGGTCTACCTTGGCCTTTTGTCATGTCTATCTTAGAGAAGGTTAATATTTTTGCAGGCTGTCCATTATCATTCTGACTAGGTACCTGACCCGTCTCAATCTACCTGCCTTAATAATTTTCACATCAGATTTATTATATACATGTTATGGTTCATATCATCTGCTGCACTGCTGCTGCCTCTTTTTAGTCCATAAATTGTCCTTAAGACCATTCTTTCAAATGCTGATAGATAAGTTCATCATCCTCTAAGTGATGTTTATGAATTTTATATAAAGTTTGAGATGGTGTTGTATTAGAAAAAATGATAAATTTTGAACATTATTGAGAGTCCTAATTTTATATTTGAGAAAATTTGTTGGAGACTGACCCAATCCATAAACCTAGCCTTAACTCTGGACAACAAAAGTGACATAAGTCACAATATGTAAATCAAGCAAATCAGAAACCATCTATGGGAGTTAAGGTAAAGAGACATATTCAGCCACATAAATAGGATCCTGTACTTCTTGCCAGAGTCCATGAAACCAGAACCTAACTTAAAACTGAAGCTGGAACCAGTGAACTAAGTTCAAAACAGGAACCACAATGGATAATGTAACATACATTGATCAGTATTTTGACAGCATCCACTCACCTTTATAAGCTTTGATAAAACAGCAGAATGTAAATAAAGCCAACAACTGTAGAGCACTGAAATTCGTGTAAGAAAATTTTCTTCATTCCAATAATAATATAATATGTATAGGTAGGGAATGGCTCAGTAAACACATTTCCTAAGTTATGAAGTCCACAGAAGGACCTGTTGCTAGGTAAACACATTCTCAACCATCTATCTTATCAAATCCTTACGAGATTTGGTCAGTCTTCCAATTTTGAGAAGTGTGTACTTTGCGAAATTTGAATCTTTATTGAGATATGGTATTATTTTTTGGGGCTGTGGTCAAAAGGACATTCAAACTGTATTTAAAATCCAAAAAAAAATGTTTAAGACTGATCAAAAGAGTCAATAACAGGATATCGTGTAGAGAATTTTTTGGTGAATTTAAAATTTTAACCTTAACTTCATTGTATATCTTTGAGACGTTGTGTTTTTTAAGGAAAAATAGGATATATAACATCTCGTATTCAGATGTGCACGGTTATAACACAGTACATAAGCAGAATTTGTATGTCCAACCATGTAACACCTCACGTTGTAAAAGGAGTGTGATTAACATGGGAATAAGATTGTATAATAACTTGCCCTCTCAAATAAGAAGTATTCAAGAGTTCAAGGTTTTTAAGCGTCAGTTAAAGGATTACTTGTTGTGCAAAGCTTTTTATTCCCTTCAAGAATATTTTTACAAGAATTAGCTTAATAATGATACTTAGGTAATTTATTTTAGCTATTGCATGTAATTTATAGTTTAGCTTTTGTTGCCTTATTATACTCATCCACTGTTTTATCATATTTAAAGGACTTATGTTATTTTTCTATGGTTTTTTATATTATTAGTCATTTGATGTGATGTTTAATCTCATATATTTTTTTAAAAACTGACTTGTCCAATTGTACATAATGTAACAGTTATGGATGTTAAAATAAATCAATCAATCAACACAGTCAACTATAGAACTTCAGTTGCGTGGTATCGAATGTTTCAGTAATCACGTGTCTGTTACAATGGATTTTGGACAAAGGCATATACATGGTAACAACTTCTTAAAAAGACAGAAAGACAGTATTGAAACTCTTGACAACAGTGATCTCTGTTCGGTTCTCCCGAAGCTATGGAAGAAAGTGTGACTCAGACTCAGAAGTGAGAAGTGAAATGTGAATCAGTGTGCTTTCAAGAGATAGATGTCATTCAAGGCAGTTCAAGGTGTAAGAAGGGATTCCTTGTTTGACCTAGTAGAAGGGAAGAAGCTCATATTCCAGCAAGGAATGGAGCGAATTGTAGACAGTCAGTGATTGAAAACTGTTAGAGTTGAGTGTAATTGTAAAGGAACACCAATAAATCCATTCATCCAATCTAGAACCCATTAATTTTTTCACGTGGCAGTGAACTTATAACAGTTAAACCAAGCCTGATAATAATTATATAAAAACGCTTGCCAAGTGCAGATAGAAACTCATCCAATGGAACTCATAGTTGGAACATCGAAAAGAAGTGATTATGGACTATTTGAAAGTATTGTGCCAGCATTTTCTTGAAATGACCAAGGATAGCCACAAAAATTCTGTCAGGATATCCAGTCTCTCTTCATGAGAATCAAGAATATGAACACACATGCAGGGCACTGAAAGGAGAATGGAAAATTCTACACAAACTTCCACAGTTTTTTTTTTGTAAATTCACTATTCATTTTATGATCACTGTGTTGCTTGTGGTTGAATCTGTCTGCTCATCTCATTTTTCTATAAGTTAAAGCTTGGAATTTAAACATGATATAATTTTCTAACTGCTGTAGCTAGCAAATATGGTGCAGAAGAAAACTCAGCATTATTACAATAACAAATATGACACTAGATTGCTTTCAGAGCCAATTTGTAATATCAGAACCAGTTTCTACAGTCATCTTTACCATTGCCTTCCACTTAAGCCTTGACCAACCATTTGTTCTTCGTCATGTTTCTTACATAAATTTTTCCAACAGTTATTAGTCATTGTAATCATTAAATTCAGATTTAATAATTCAACAAAACCCTTGAATGACCAAACCAAAGATAAGTTTCTCCTTTCATATAGTCATGAAACAATAATGCATCTTTCTTAATCCCTAACATGAATGTTACACAACCTCATGCTAATTCAGTAATTAATATTGCAATCTGGGTAATGTTTCAGCAAGTTGCTTGGAGGTATCAATGTTGGTGAGCGTGCATGTAGAAAAGAATGGACAAGCTCTTGGTTACCGGCAAGTGAAATGTGAGAGTCGTATGCGTGAACTTGACCAAATTTTACGCTCTTGTGATAATCCTCTGGAGTTCATGTGTCAGGTATGTGTTTGTTTAATTATCTTGCATTTCATATCATTCAAGGAAGGCCATGGTATTCAGGAAATCGTTGGCCAACATGGGGATACAGTTCCTTGAGAATTGGTGATTCTGAATTGGACAATTTTAATACTTTACAGGTTAAACAGAGATATGTGAATTCAGCTGCATAAAGTCTTCCACTAATACCTAGATGGTTAGATCTTTTACACTTACATAAAAATGAATTGTCCTACATTTACTGCTTTAAATTTTCAAATACACCAGAGTCCCCAGTTCAGATTGCATGTTTGGAGTTGTTTTGAGCATAATAAGATTGAAATGTCTTGATAAATTTTGGTGCATAAACTGCAGGATTGATGTATTTCCAAGAGTTAAACACATTACCTTGACATTAAGGTGACGAATTATGGTGTATAGTGTTTCATGGTTGTAGTTAATGGCAGACCACATATATTCAAATGTTCTGTGTTCAGGAAAGAATTGTTCACCTTTGTTTTTGCATGTGTGGTCAAATCCACATTGGACAAGAGTTTACTCTATTCATCTAATTATATAATACTGAGGTACATCGCATATGTTTGTGTTTCCATTGTATATAAAATACATACTGTCCCATGTTAGTGACTAGACATGGGATTTGGGTTGATAATTAGATTTATTGAATGCTGATAACTTTAGCTACAAATAACTGTAACACTTTCAATAATCTACATGCTCTGCAAATTACTGTAGCACACACTAAGTCCTCTGTGTCTTCACTTGTCGTTACTTGATATTGGTGTCTGTCAATGCAATTCTTGGCTGATAACAGGCGACTTCCCACTTCCTGACTTCTACTGTCAGACGTTGACTTCTGACTCATGACTGACTCACTTGGCCCATTCGTTCTCTATGTATAATCTTCTTACAGACTGCTCAAAAAACACCGCTTCCAAGAATTCTTCCATTGTTGAGTGATGTGTTAGACTGATTGTTGCCTAGTGATTTCCTGAGCATTGTTAACATGGGAATGTGTTTTTTTAGGCTGTGGAAACATGTTTACTGGCATTGCCTAGCAGTGGATGTCTTTTTTGGGTCTGCTATTCTGGCTTTCAGCTGTCATGTCACAATATTTATACACTTTTAGCTCTAATGTCAAATTTCATTATGGATGATATTTAACTTGCTAATGCTTTTGCAGACACTAGGCTTTAGCCCAGGTGACCGTGAACGTCTGGACAACTTCCTTGTATCAGCATTCCAGCGTAATTTACCTCCACACTTCAACCTCTTACACATAGCAAAACATCCACACCATCACATGACTCGTACTAGTGAGTATATGACAAGTCGTTAACCATTTTGTATATGAAGCAGCAATTTTAATTTTATTCTGTGAGAAAAATAGAAATTCAATGCCAATCTGAACAATATAAGATGTGAAGCCAGCAGGCATTTCAGGAATCAAATCTGGGAATATCTGAAAGGCAAAATTAATGAGCTTGCAACAAACAGTAAGAACAAGAATATTAGAGACCTGTATAGAGGAATAAATGACTTTAAGAAGGGTAATCAACTTAAAAGTAACTTAGTAATGGATGAGATTGGTGAACTGCTTGCAGATTCCCACAATATTTTGAATACACGGAAGAACTGCATGTGTCTTATTGAATGTACATAGAGTCAGTAATGTTAGGCAGACAGAAGTACCTACAGCTGAGCTGTTAATATCTGATTCTAGACCTTTTGAAGTTGAAATTGCTATTGCAAAGTTGGAAAGTTATAAATCGTCAGGTGTTGATCAAATTCTAGTAGAATTGATTCAAGCAGAAGGTCGAACATTATGGTCTGAAATCCATAAACTCATTAATTCTATTTGGAGTAAGGAAGAATTACCTGATCTGTATTATGTTTCATCATAACAGGTCAAAAACTGATCAGATTCTTTGCATTTGTCAGACACTGGAGGGGAGAAAAATGGGAGTACAGTGAGACTACATCAGCTATTCCTAAACTACAAGAAAGCCCGTGATTCAGTTAGGGGGAAGTATTGTATAGTACTCTCACAGAGTTTGGGGTACCCATGAAACTAGATAGTCTGATCAGAATGTGTTTAAATGAAATGTATAGTAAAATCTGCATAGGTAAACATTTGTCTGATAATTTTCCTATCCAGAATGATTTGAAATAAGGAAGATGCTTTTTTGCTGTTGCTTTTCAACTTTAGTTGAATAGAATAGTTGCTTTAGAATATGCCATTAGGAAGATCCAGGACTGGGACTGAAATTAAATTGGACAAATCATCTGCTGGTCTATGCTGATGATGTGAATCTACTCCAAGATGACATAGGTACCATAAAGAAAAATACAGAAACTTTAACTGATGGTAGAAAGGGGTTTCACTTAGTGGGGGGTCAAGTCCCTTAGTGGGACTTAGTGGGTTCCCTTGGCATGGCGGCCACTGATTGGCCTATTGTAGCCTGCCCCGGGTGATTATGATCATGGAGAATTTGGTGGAATGAAAATTGGCAAGGGAAACCGAAGTACTCGGAGAAAACCCGCCACAGAGCCACTTTGTCCACCACAGATCCCACTTGACCAGACCTGGGATCGAACCCAGGCCGCTGAAGTGGGAAGCCAGTGACTAACCCCTTGAGTTATGGTGTGGCCTAGAAAGGGGTTTGGTCTAGAAGTAAATGCAGAGAAAACTGAGTATATGTTACTGTCTTGTCACCAGACAGTGTGGCAAAATCATGACATAAAGACAGCTAACAGATCCTTTGAAAATGTGGCACAGTTCAGATATTTGGGAACGACAGTAACAAATCAAAATTGATTCAGGAGGAAATTAAGAGGGGATTGAGTGTAAGTAATACTTGCTACCATTTAGTCCAGAACCTTTTGTCATCTCCTCTGCTGTCTAAAAACGTAAAAATTATAATATACAGAACTGTGATTTTGCCTGTGGTTCTGTGTGGGTATGAAACTTGGTCTCTGGCATTAAGGCAGGAACATAGACTGAGGGTGTTTGAAAACAGGGCCGAAGAGAGATGAGGTGCCAGGAGGGTTGAGAAAACTGCATAATGAGGAGCTTCATAACTTGTATGCTGTGCCAAGTGTAATTAGAATGATAAAGTCAAGGAGGGTGAGATGGGTAGGGCATGTAGCATGAATGGGGCCAAAGAGGAGCGCATATAGGATATTGGTGGGAAAGCCAGAAGGAAAGAGACCACTAGGAAGGCCAAGATATAGGTGGATGGTTAATATTGGAGAAACAGGATGGAGTGGGATTGACTTGTTTGTTCTGGCTCAGGATAGGGACCGGTGGAAGGCTCTTGTGAACATGGTACTGAACCTTTGAGTTCCATAAAATGTTGTGAAATTCTTGAGTAGCTGCACAACTTGTGGTTTCTCAAGAATGACTCAGCTCCATAAAGTTGGTTGATTAGTTAGTTAGTTAGAGAAAAACAGAAATACATATCTTATATGTGTATTTCTTATGATTATGGGTTCATTTTTAGGCCTTGAATTCAGATGTGGTGATTATGTGGTGAAGGTCAGAATCTGCTGAGTTTGCAGTAACTTTGTGTGAAGTCTGTACTACCTTCAATCAATAAAATTAATTTTGTTTGCAAGCATCCTGTATTTCATATCACAGTGTTTTAAAATATCCTTGTAATTACATTTTGAAATGGGTGGAATGTTACTAGGCAATTATTCACTGAAATTCTAGTAAATGCATAATTTATAGAAGGAAGTGTACAAGCTGTATTAAAACTGCAATGAATTTAAGGTGCTTTGTGTCTTCCAAAGTCACCTTCATCAAAAGTTGTGCAATTTATGCAGATCCTGTTTGTATATTACAATTCATGGCAACAAACTTAATTAATTCAGTTGTACTGATAAAAACTTGTATACTAAGGGACTGCAGAGCTTATATTCCATTTTCAGTTTACTTTTAACTCTATGATTCACTATTTAATTTCTGGTTAACCCTTAATTCATTTATCAATGTTTTAAAATCTTAGTTACTGATAGTGTCATAAAATAAATTCAGTTCAGTAACCCAAAATAATTTGGATTTTGTACCTTTAGGTCCAGAAGAGTATCCAACACTGCTGCATTTTGCAGCAAGAAATGGGCTGGAAAAATTAGCTTGGCAACTCTTGGAGTGTCCAGGTGGAGAATATGCCTGTGAAATTCGAAATGCATGTGAATTGACACCAGCAGAAATGGCTGAAGCAGCTGGCCATAGCAAGTTGGCTAATGCACTCAGGGGATACATGGTAACTATTTTTTCACATCATATTACACTGGCTTATGAAATATGCAGTTAATTCCTATATTCTCACTCAGAATTTATGAACTTCAGTAACCTGGCATATTTTTCAAAGTCTGTTTTACCAAATAACATTTCATAGCTCTACAGTAACTGATGCTAGTGTCATTCCTACCTCAGAAATTTGCATAGCTGCCATGTGTATTGTTTGTGCAATGTCATTATATAAGAGATAACCACTTCTTAAACTTCTATGCGAATATTTATTTATTGTTCTACAGACTATAGAGACAAGCTTCAGTTGAAGCTTTGAAAGCAGCAATTTGCCGATTGCAGGTAGGCTGATTGAAGAAGATGTAGGCATGCTCTAGACAGGCGGCTTTTAGGCAGGTTCTCATCTAATCCTAGTTTGGATCTTCCTTAAGTAGTTTTTTCTCTGACCTGGGTGTATCGTTCTGTTACTGCATTCTGCTGGACTACTTCCATGGAGACATGTTTTCCAGTCGTTTCATAGCAGTGATAGTTTTAACGAGCAACGGCTGTTTACCCAGCTGTTGCTTAGCAGCAGATGGTTCCTAGCCTGTGATTGGCAAGCGCTTGGTTCAATGTGGGCGGTTCCCACATATTCAAGGTATAGAATTAAAAAATACAAAGGTGGATGACCTCTGTAGGCATGATGTTCAGATCAGGTCTCATGAAACACTGTCAGCTGTTTCATATCATATTGAAGAGGGACAAATGAAAGGGGGGCGGGCATACACAGATATGAATTCTGTCCGTATAAAATAAGGAAGGTAGGCTAAAAGTGAGAGATGTGATTGGTTGATATATTCCAGGAATATCATTTTATTGTTTGGATTGCCAGAAACTTCCAGTATTAAATGTTATCGAGATCTGTAAGTATAACATGAAAATATCCACCATAGATTATAATTTGGATTATCATGTGAATTAGTTATCAGAATTGTTAATAGTGAACTTCAAATTGTCCATCAATGTTGAATTTGAAGAAAGCAGTCTTCTGGGCTTTGGCGCCGTGTATATGTGGTGTTAACCGACGTTTCGGAGGAACGTATCGCCCCCATCTTCAGGGTTGAAGAAAAAGTATAGGTAAATCTGCAAGCGACAACACTGTGAGACACGGTTCCTCCGAAACGTCGGTTAACACCACATATACACGGCGCCAAAGCCCAGAAGACTGCTTTCTTCA